ATAGTACAAGAAAGATTTAAAAGCATGTAGGACAAAATGGAAAGTGCAAACATGCAGAATTCACTGTGAAATCCCAATGAAGATCTCTAGCATTAGCAATGAATCAGCACATCATAAAAGCTGTGCTCATCTGCTTGTTAATCAATTATTAACAACCAAAAGGACCGTGCTAATCATCAGTTATCAGATCTTGCTAGCAATGTCAATATTGTGCATGCCAAAAAATTGGAAGTAATACAATAAATGCAAGCCATTGCTCATGTGTACACACACACAAACACACACACACACACACACACACACACACACACACACACACACACACACACACACACACACACACACACACACACACACACACACACACACACACAATCAGGGTCCTCCAGGCAGTTTGTGAAACAGATCCTCAGGAATGTAATAAAGCACAATAGCAATAATTTCCTACAGCATTTGCAACACATCTGAGATGTTGTGTAAAAGCAACATGACATGAATCCATCCCTAACACACAGTATCATCAGCTGTCTAAAAGTGTTGACAGGCCGGCCTGCCGAGAATAGCTCTGGCTCTACACAGGCAGAGACTGTATAAAGGTGCTTACACCAAAGAGCCCTCACTAAACTGGCACATGAAGTGGAAGTACTCTGATCCTTTATTTTAGTAAAGTAGTAATACCACAATCTCAAAATACACCATTGCAAGAAAAAGTCCTGAGTTGAAAATGTTATTTATGTAAAAATATAAAGGCATCATCACTCAGCAAAGTGTATAAAGTATCAACAATTAAAGTAAGAACTATGCTAAAGAAAATGTACTAGTCAAAAAGTTAAAGTACGTATTATGCACAATGACCCATTTCAGAATAAAGTACAGAAATATTATCAGCTCAATGAACTTCAAGTGTCAAAAGTACTCGTTATGCAGAATGGCTCTTTTCACAGTATTATATTTATTATGGTTATTATTTGATCCTGTTGTTATACATTTAAGAGAATGTTAGCAATGTAGTTGGTCAATGTGGACCAAATTTAGATAATATAATTAGTGTAGATTAGTAGTAAAGCACTGCATTATCAGCATAGCATGTGTAAAATGTACAATATTGGCCTCTGAAATGTAGTGGATTAGAATAATAAAGTAGCATTAAATGTAAATACTCAAGTGAAGTACAAATATGTAAAAAAAAGTACAATACTTTAGTAAATGTACTTAGTTACTTTCCACCACTGTGTATAACTGGGTGTGTGCTGCATTGAATAATGGACGTGTTAAGTCTTGCTGTGCTGTGTAGACAAATAGTCTCTAGTATGAAACACTTGCGGACATACAAATAAGATATGTTGGGAGCCCCAGGGCTGACATACTCACAGGGACAGACATCTTGCTGCTGCTGTCACTCTCTGGCTTTCAACCGCACGGTGGTCCTTTTCCCAAATTGCTACTTTTCCACAAGAACGAGGGTTTCTTCAAGTGTCAGTCCTGCTTCAGCCAGTCCATACTGCACCCTGTGTGAGAGGCAAACATCCAGCTGTAGGGCGGTGTGTGGCTCTATGACTTCAGAGAGCTAGCATATGTCTCATCAGCAGAAGCAGCAGTGCGGCCGCCTGAACGTGCAGCACAGCCGGCTGTCTCTCCTCCGTTATGGGGTCTCCCGCCTTCCCTCTATCTCAGCCGCTCCTCGCTTCGTTCACGAATTCCTTCACGAAACCCTTCAGAAATGGTTCAAGAAAAGCTTGTAAACGACGAAGCGACGAGTCTGGAGGTCAAGCGACTTCCACCGTTGTATTGACAGCCAGTCTGAACCGTGAGTGAGGCCGGAGAGAACCGCCTCTGTGCCGCGGTGTGCTGCCGCGCGTGCCCCCACAGGGATGATCCAGTCCAGCCTTAAAGAGACCGCCTGCTAACCCGCCGCTACCTACACGCATACACTCAACATCCTGCACTTAAAAACCAACTGCACGGTCCCCCCTTAAAGGAACACATTAATGTGTTGCATGCTCATGTATTACTCTTGATTTATATTGCAGACAACTATTTTGCTAATGTATTTAGGGGATTTGTATCACACTACACTATGGATTATGGATTATATGCACAGAATAACAGTACTACCCTAAACATGATAGGGGAGACTGGGGACGGATGAAACACTTTTTGCATTTCTCTCAGTTTATCTGAGACTATTCGGTCTAGACCGGTATATTTAATTTAAATATCTGCTTATTTCCCATACCATTTATAAAGGATAACATATAACATATCATTCAGTATTTGTCTGCAACTGACCCTTACCCAGGGGACAGTTGCAACATGTTTAAAATACATTACAATAGTTGTAATGAAATCATTATTTCACTTTAACATTATATCGTTTCCTTACCACCCAGGTCACGGAAGTCAACAAAACTATGATTCCTACTAAGTAAATTAGGATACATTCATAAAAGGTCACAACAGTATCCCATAAATCTGGTTCAGGGAAAAAATGTTTCTGTAACGCTAAAACAACTTTTTTTTCAATATGTGCAGCAGCAGTCATTATTCTGGCATGTTTCTGGTTGGAGGAATAAGACCTGTTGGAACCGTCACCAGTCTCCTGTACAATAAAAGAAGAACACGTTTTCACAAACAATCTAAACATTTAAATATGAAATAATAGGCCTATACTATAGGTTTATAAGAAGGGGTGAGATTGACAACTTTAAAGAGAGTATATTTTTAACAATCACAGCCAGTGGTTTCATTAAAATGTTATAATCTATTAGCAAACTCTTGAAAATGGACTGAACTTTGTGTTCCACCAGTTTTTAAAATGGTTAGCTGTGATGTTGATTTGCGTTACCTTCTACAGTGTCTGACATTTATTTACAGTATAAATGATGAACTACCTTTAATTATTTTCTATTCCATCCCATCTTTCGACGTGGTGCTGTTGTTTGTAAAGTCAATGTCTGAAGTTAGTTGCATGTTTCTGCTTATTTTAACAATGTGTCCCAGATTCATTTAGACTGACACAAATCATATTGGGTTATTAATAATCCCTCCTCTGATAACATGCAGGAGTGTGAAATCAGTAAGTCATTATAATAATTGGAGTATCTAGATAGGTTGTCAGAATGATGTGTGGTATAAATAGTTGAGCCTATACTGCTTTCTGTGTGTGTGTGTGTGTGTGTGTGTGTGTGTGTGTGTGTGTGTCTCTGTCTGTGTCTGTGTGTGTGTGTGTGTGTGTGTGTGTGTGTGTGTGTGTGTGTGTCTGTGTCTGTGTGTGTGACACATCCAGGCTCCCTGCTGAGGGTTAAATAAAGGCAGCTATTCTCATTTCTATTTGCCCAGTAACACCAGTAGCTACATGCAAATGTGTACTGGAGTCTATAGCGCCTACAAAAAAAAACATGAAAGTCAAAAAACAATTAGAATTACAATGTGGTTCAATAACAACATGTGTCCTCTATTAATACAACACTATCACCGATAGTATTTTTGTTGACAAACCCGAAAGTTAGCATGGCACAGGGTCTCTCGATAAAAATCTATTGGATTTTTCAATTGGATTTCTGAATATTGCAGAAAATAAGTTATTTGACAAACAACATTTTATGATACGTTATGTTTAGCAGGATAATCTCCACATATTAACATCACTTTTATGATTTGTGTAAATGCAATCACCAAAAGTAAAAAGCTAAAGTTAGACCATAAACATTTACATGCCAGTCGCATGGCCACGCGTCACCACGGCTAAGCTAAAGGTGGCTAATGTTTGTTGTTAGCAGCCGCCCTTTTTGTGACACAAAGATGCTACGGAAGTATACGAATGGAGTATTTATTGGCCTATTTTATGTCTTAAAACAAAACTTGAAATTCTCTTCAACTTGTGATAACCACAGGCTTTATTTCAGGCACTTAACCAAAAACACTTTCAAAAGACAGAGAAGGGAACCAGATGTCGTAAAATGCTGACTCATTTCCAGGTTTTTAGGAATCATTCCTGCACCACTCTATTGCACTTTGTCTTAATTGGCAGGTGTGGTTCTGACCAACTGTGTATCTTTGGGTTGTGTCATAAATGATCAATTACATTTTTTTATTTGATGCATGTCTTATCAAGGAAATGAAACTGTCCAGTGCACATCAATCCCTCATAACTGATGGTCTGTATGAAACCCAAATCCACCTCTACTGCGCTGGAACAGGTTGCACACAAAAGAGATTTAGTGAAGCTATCCCGTCTCTATAAATAGTTACAGCTTCATGTTAAAATGATCATCCCTCTGGCTATCACGCAAATAAAATAAAACATGAGGCAGAGGTCGCAACATCAGTTTGCTGATGTAGTGCTCATATCCTATAGTAAATCCTAATCTGCTCCAACTGGAACATATTGCACCTTGTTGATTGTTTCCATTATTATAAGAGATTATCTCCACCGGTTGTTTATAGGAAGCCGTTACAGTGAATGACCTCTGCTGAGATGTTTTGATTGGAGTGGACTTTTAGTGTCCCAGGATGATGTAAATGCTGTTTCAGAATAAAATGATGACACAAGAGATGCCTACTACTACAGATGCGTGGGAACAAATGTGAGGGTAATCTCTTGTCAACCATAAAAACCTGTGTGTATGTGTGTGTGTGTGTTTGTGTGTGAGGAAGGAAGGAACAGTAATGTAGTTAACCAAAAGCCTTTTTTCATTTTACCACACTAGAGGCAATAAAAAACAGACGTAGACTTACTTTGGTTAAAGAAATAAAATGTCAGGACACCTTACAACAAAAAGGCTGCGTAACATGTGTACTTATATGGAATTTTAGAATATTGAAGAGTTTTGGTTCTTTTTACATTTTACACAACTCATTTTTATAATTACTCATTTCATTATGTCTTATAATTCATTGTTGATCATTTCGGGGTTCCATATGTGATCTATGGAAGTCAGCTTCACACTTAGAACAGAGACTCTTCACTTTCTGCAAGCAACTCAGAAAAGAAGAAAATCAACCTGCAAACTTAAAATGTGTTTATTGAATATCTAATATTTACATGAAGAAACAAGATGTCCTCCTCTCAACACTCTCTGTCCTTGTGTGTTCCTAAAAGACAGATCGGCCCCTGAGGGACAGGAGTCAGTGTGGCCCTCTCATCTGATGGATAACAGGCAGTTTGATTGATCACACCTCCATGGTGGTATTGATCAGAAATACAGTGTTCTGTACAGTGTCCCCAGAAAGATGGTCACCTGTGTGCATGAAACCACGTGGTCATAATGTCAGTGGAGCAGGCAGATTCAGTGTCCCATGTTAATAAACATTGAAGTCCTCCTTAAGATCCTTGTGATTGGATCTCAGTTTTTTTGCTACAAAATGTACTCTCTGCTAGCCTGGCTAACTAGAATCATGGTACTTTTTGTTAGAAGGTAACATAGCCAGTTTAGAAGCACTGTGCTAGCTTGGCTACCAGCGTCAGTCACTTGGCAGTTGTCCCTCAAGAGTTGCTGTATGGATCTACTTTTCCTTTGCAGAGGAAGAAACGGCCTGCAGAAACTTGACAAAGCAGGAAATTGTTATAGGGTTATAGGTGACTTGTCAACCATTCATCAGGATGTGTCACACTACCCTGTACAGATGTCCTTCAGACCTAGCTGAGATCTGATACATTCTGATTGCAATGTGTGGTACATGATTTTACACCTGTAATGTTTTCTCTGATCCTGGTAATCCAGATTCCCTCACTCGTTATTACTGAAGTTTCACACAACATAACAAAACCTAGCCACAAATCCCATCCATTTACTCAACCTCATGTTCAGTTTCTACTTAAGTAGTAAATCATCTGGATGTTTCTTGACCTCAGACTTCTTTTTAATGATGTCACTGTGATCCAATACCTCAGCAGTTAACGTGGTGAGTAGAAACAGAAAAAAACAAATACATTAAACCAGAATTATTCTTTAACCCCAAAACTACGTCCTAGTTGTAAAACAGCCCTGTGTGGATGACAGGAAAGAGTGACCACTTTCAGAAAATGCCCTTAGTGTGAAGGTTTGAAGCTCTAATCGGCTCCCACAGAGATGGAAGAACAAGAACTCAGCAACCCATCGTCCCACAAACTCAGCCTAATAATATCCGTCCTGAAATAGAGTGGAGCCACAGCACCGGTTTGAGCTCACTTTACCCGGGAACAGCAAGTCTGTCATTAGAGAGAGAGAGGAACATCTGCTCCGCTCTGAGGGACTGTGTCATTGTTTCACGTTGCTCTGTCGCACTGCTTTCTCTCTCTCGAACTGCCGGTGGTCGACGCGGTCCAAGAAACTCTTCCGCTCCACATACCTACACACACACACACACACACACACAACATTAGACCTACTTTTGTCAGAACAAGCACAAACTGGAAATGGGTGTGTTGGTGTGTGTAATGACTTGAGTTCCTGTTGTGTCTAAGTGTTTTTAAATTAGCCCCCATCCGTATGCTTGGTTGGAAGGTAAGTTACAAGTACATTTTAAGTATGTATCTGTGTGTGTGTGTGTGTGTGTGTGTGTGTGTGTGTGTGTGTGTGTGTGTGAGTGTGAGAGTGTGTGTGTGTGTGTGTGTGTGTGTGTGTGAGAGAGGCACAGAATGGCAATTAACAATTTTAGTCTAAATTTCAAGCTACTGTACAAAATGTTTTAACGATACAGTACACTATGTTTATATGTTCAGTAGATTGGTATTTTAGAGAGTATTCTAATTGATATTGTATATTTTATAATGTGTAGATACTCCTGTGAATATAGGTATTGTTTACTTGTTTTAAAGTTGATTCAAAAAATAAAAATGTTTTCAAATGTGTTTTATTTGTATTGTATTCTTCTTATTTTTTAAGTAATTTTGTAGATTGACAGTCAAAATGCTGCATAGACAAAATTATTTAAAAAAACTTGGGATAAATAAAGTATCCATCTATCTATCTATCTTAGCAGTGCACAAGGCATAGACTCATGTTACTTATATTATTATTGAGCTTTTCGGGGACTATTGCCTCGTCACATTTATAAAAAAATTGCCCCTTCGCAATTTTCACCAACCCGATTAGGCACTTTAATCCAAGATAATCCTAGTAAATAGATACTCTTGAATTGAAATGTAAGTTTTATTTTAATTGTTCACAGGTATTCCTAAGCCTTTCTCATCTGGGAATTCGTGTTGTTCAGAGATCGTATCTGCCTGTTTTACACTCTTTGACCATCAGAGGGTTTTTCGTGCTGTGAGGGTCTCTTACCCCTCTTTTCCACGGTTGTGGATGGCCAGCTCCTCGGTGATGCCTTCCTCCGATTTAAAAGCGTCCCAGTCCATCTTAGACTTCTCCAGCGTGCTCATCTTCAGTTTCTTTCCGCCCAGACGATTCATGATGCTCGACATGCCTGCAGGCCGCTTGACACTGCACACACAAGGAGGGGGGGGGGAGGGGGCTTTAGACGTTCTGCTACACATGTTCAAAATCATGCTAATGAGATCAACAGAGATCAGAGGAAATAAGAACCATGTAACACTTTAACGTTTTTTTTTTTAATATACATCAACTGACACTTTTAAATGGCCTCCGACTCACAATGGACCAGCTTGATCTGATCAGCTGTAGTGCCTTTTTTATATTTTGTGAACAAAAATCCATGCTGCCATTTGTAATAAATATAAGATTTACTGTTAAACCATCATAATGAGGCTTTTTTTGAATGAAGACTAAAATGTCATAAGTCAAAGATTGTGTTATGAAGAACTCTGTCAAATACCAATCAATAAAGACATGCAGAGATACAAAACAAACTAGCCCAGCATCCAAACATCAACTGAAGTTTAATGAGATACAATGTTCCACTCTATAGAAATGCTGGTATTCCATGCTGCACAAACACACAAACTAACAGGTCTTCCATAGAGTGGTGCAGGAATGGGTCCTCAAATGCAGAAATTACCGAGTTGGCTTTGGTTTTCAAAAACATGCTTCTGGTTAAATGCCTCAAATAGGGCTGTGGATAACACACGCCCAGGAGATTTTTCACGTTTTGTTTTACGATAGTAAACACACAGGTAGATACTCCACTGGTGAATATCTGAAATGTCTATGTGTCATAAAAACAGTGGTTAACAAGTGACTAAATGGGACCACTAAACGTCATCATGGCGAATATAGCTCTTTAGCTTAGCGGTGGTGACATGATGTCATGCGACCGTGATGTAGTTCATTTATAGCTGTTGCAGTGTTATTTTTTTTTATGAGATCCATTTGTGGCGGACGATATTTAATTGTATGGGAAACACTGTATTGCATTAACTTCCAAATACATTACAATTGTTTAAATATGTGGAGATTATCCTGCTGAACAAAATGTGCAAGTATCATAAACGTTTGTTTAGCAAAGATCTAACTTTCTGCAATATTCCAAAATCAAAAAGTCAAATCCAATGTATTTTTGTCGAAGGAGCGCTTTTGATGCTTACTTCCTTCTCCCTAATCTTAGCCCCTTAAACCTCACCATCACAACTTAACACCTAACTCAACTGCTGCAAAAAAACTCAACTAACCCAATTCTAAGCTGCATCTTAACCTTTTGCAGTGCTGTGAAGTAGTGTGAACCGGCCAAAACGTCTTCAAAGGTCCTTACTAGAACACACACACACACACACACACACACACACACACACACACACACACACACACACAACACACACACACACACACACACACACACACACACACACCACACACACACACACACACACACACCACACACACACACACACACACACACACACACACACACACACACACACACACACACACACACACACACACACACACACACACACACACACACACACACACACACACACACACACACACACACACACACACACACACACACACACACACACACACACGTCAGGTGGGCTAATTGAAAGACTCACTGCCCTTTCACTTACTGGATTGATTTAATGAGATGGGCTGTAAATGTCACAACAAAATGGAACGGGTCTGTTAAACACTTAAGCCAACTTCTATTAACAAAATGTTATTAGATTACAGACGTTTGCTGTATAAAAATCTATTCTGCTGCTCAGAAAATAATATTTTTGTATTGTTTTCAGGTTGCCTCATGACTTTCCCTCTCACTGATCACTGCTCGTCGCTAACACCGCCAGTCTTAAGATGGCATACACTCTGTCCTCAAGTGATGTGATTTATACAGTATCAGAGGAGTCTCTAGAAAAAAAGAAGAAGCTATTAATCACTTTATGAAAGCATAATGATGTTCCCCTGGAGACCACAGCAGACTGGGCTTTTCATTTACTGCTGCATGACTGGACACAGACGTCGTTAATTACTGTGAGCCATTTAAACACCGCTCATTTTGGCGTTCCACAATTACATACAGCCACTCATAGTAACGTGCTCAAGTTGCAGTGTGAAGCTCCAAAGTCCAAGTTTCCCTTTATTCTCCCTCATATCAAAGGTCTTTCAATCATTTCACATCAGGCTGAGGCTTCCTACCTGTCCATGAATAGACCCATAAATTAAAATAAATCATAACATATATAAAGAAATGAATTCATGTTAAATGAATTATATAAAGAAAGTATTTTCTAGCTAATGTCCTAATGTAATACTGTGTTTTTCATCAATTATCCCTGACACAACTTCCCTTTTGTCAACCTGTTGCAGTCAATGAATACATGTTGAATAGTTTTAGCTCCTGGATCTGACTCCAGCATTCGACACTGTCGACCATAACATCCTCCTTCAGCGCCTCAAACACACCATCGGACTCTCTGACTCCGCCCTGAGCTGGTTCCAGTCCTACCTGTCTGGAAGAACAGAGAACGTCTCCTTGGGAGGTGCGAGGTCCCAGACACACCCTGTCACCTGTGGTGTCCCTCAAGGGTCGGTCCTTGGGCCCACTCTGTTCACCCTGTACACTCTTCCCCTTGGCCGTGTCATCAGCCAGCATGGAATATCATTCCATGCTGGCTGATGACACACAGCTATATATAAAGACTGACCCTATCCCACATGCTTCCTCACTGTCACCATCATCGTCACCGTTCCCATCAACATCCCTTAACACCTGCATTGAGGAGATAAAGGCTTGGATGCAACAAAACTTCTTGCAACTTAATAGCTCCAAAACAGAAGCTATTTTAGTTGGCACACCAAACCATGTCCAGTCATCCCCCATAGCCCACATTACCTTTTCTTGCCAAAACATACCCCTCTCCACAGCAGTTACCAACCTGGGTGTAAGATTTGACAGACATCTGACCTTTGACACCCACATCAAACACCTGTGCAAAACCTCCTTCTACCACCTCAGGAACATTGCAAAACTCCGTCCCACACTCTCCCTGTCAGATGCAGAACAACTGGTCCATGCCTACGTCTCCTCAAGGCTTGATTACTGCAACGCTCTCCTCATTGGGACTCCTAGCGGGAGCCTTCAGAAGCTCCAATATGTACAGAACAGTGCCGCTAGGATCCTGATGAGGGTGAGAAAATACAACCACATCACACCCGTTCTTCATTCCCTCCACTGGCTTCCTGTCTCATTCAGGATCGAATACAAGATCGCACTACTGACCCATCAATGCATCCACGGGAACGCTCCTCCATACCTGAAAGAACTTCTCACATCTCAAACCTCCACACGCAACCTCCACTCCACAACCAACCATCGGCTTCGCCCCCCGAGGACCAAACTCCGCACAATGGGGGATCGGGCTTTCTGTGCAGCTGCTCCTCGCCTGTGGAATTCCCTCCCAGACCACCTGAGGACTCCACAGACCACCTGAGGATTCCACAGACCACCTGAGGACTCCACAGACCACCTGAGGACTCCACAGACCACCTGAGGATTCCACAGACCACTGACGCCTTCAAGAAAGGCTTAAAAACCTTTCTTTTAAAAAAAGCTTTTGATTAAACTTTTTGTTTATTTTTGTTTGTTTTTATTATGCCTCCTGTAGCACCTTGGGATTGCTGTTAGCAATGAAAGGTGCTTTATAAATCGAATTTATTATTATTATTATAGTTTATTACAGCACGTGCATGGAGGGGCCTTTCTATGGAGTGTTTGAGTTAATCCTTTGAGTCCTGAGGCCTGTACGACGAAGCCGGTTCAACATAACCTGGATATGTTTTGAGTTATCCGGTTTAACTAATCCAAAACAAACTCGCTCTCGCTAAGCTGTCCTACGACGCTGGTTATCAACTCGTTAACTTAAGCCAGCTTTGCCCTATCTAGTTAGGTGCGCGTTCACATAAAAGGGGTGGGTATTTGGAGCATTCGACCAATCACAAACATGGACAAGCGTACTGACAGCGCAGCGTCATACTTCCTGAATGAAAAGTGAACTTTAATATTAGACAAATATGAAGACGTTAAACTTTAAACATCCATGACTTAAACACTTTACCCAGGATAAAAGCCACATAGCTGCAGCTGCAAGGTGAATACAGCTGGTAAAAGAAAAAGTGTTTGAATGCGTACATTAACAGGTTTATGAAATCACTGCCCCGTCCAAGACACGAGTGGATCTGACTTTAATTACATTTGACTCGAGTGTTTCGTCAACTTAATGTGTTGCTTAAAATAATACTTCTGCATACAGTATGTGACACTGTGAGTGTTGCACGGCCAGATACGGCTCAAGAAGCTGACTCAAATAAGGAAATATATGATACATTATGATGTGATATGATATGAATGATAATGGGACACATCGACGTCTGCACTCACAGTGCCGCGGACTGTAGGCTACGTAATGTTACTCTGATCCGGTTACTTATGTCGTGGCAGATATTTAATTAAGCTTTCTTAACGCTAATGTTATAATAGTCAGATTGCTCTGAAGATGGGAGGGGATATTCTATTAATTTTCACGTTCACACAGTCAGTTGATTTTTGCCGGCCGTCTTTCCTGCAACGGCAGTTTTTCTGTATTTCCTCTATCCTGTAATATGACTTGATAGCTTTAAACTCCGCACACGGAGCTCTGATTGGTCAGCAGGCGGTGCTTTCACTGAGTTGATCTCTTAGCCTGCAACCTAACCTGCTCCGGAGCAGGTTAGCCGCTCAGCATAAGTTACCATGGAGATCTAGCCCGCTAAGAAGTGAACCAGCGTCGTAGGACCGGAAACCCAGAGTTTTCCCTGAAGTTAGCTCGCTAAGCGAAAATCCGGCTTCGTAGTACAGGCCTCCGCTCTCAGATGGGTAATGACCCTCTCTTCCCCTGGGCCCCTTCTCCGTCTTCTACCTACGCCTACACGTTTCTGAATGATTTAAAGATGTCTCGCTGGTTCACTTATATCCAGAATTCCTGCCAAGTTTTGAGCATATAGTCCTTTATTCGTTTTTGTATGTCAGTTAACTTTCATTTGAGTGATTGTTCAGCCAGTCTACCTCCTCATTTCCCGAAGGAAGGAGATTTAAAATCCCTTACAATGTGATCTGAGCAGCAAATGCACCTTTCCATACACAATATCTTCCTGCATGACTTTCTTTTGTTAAATAAAACATACAGAGACGTCCCTTAGTGGCCAATAGCAGACGTGTTTGCAGTTTTCTACAGAACAACTGATCCAAATAACATGTAGGAAGTATCCTCTCTCAGATCCTCAGCAGCACACGGCAAAATGTAAGTGTTGGCGAGATAATTAAAAACGCAGATATGCAATTATGCAGGTAGTAAAATGAACAATTCCAATAATTGTAGTTACATCTTGTGTAACATCATGCCATAGAATAGATGGTATTTTAGAAAAAGTAAAAAACGAATGTGTGTTTAGTGCTAGACCCTTCTGTAGCTCAGCACTACCAAATTCCAAAGAATCATTTTGTATTAAGGCTCAAACTGGTTGCTTCAAATGATATGCTTATATTATGTTTTAAAAGGCCTTTATCCTGCAGTTTGGAGATGTCTAAATGTGAATGTGTTAGGTCCAACACAGAGCTAAACATAATACTAAAGGAGGAGTTCACTTTCCTTTTGGAGAGTGAGATGAAAAGTTGATGGATATCTTGTTTATGTCTGTGTGTTGAGTTAGGAGTTGGAGCCAGGACGTGGTTAGCCTAGCTTAGCATAAAGAGTGTGTGTGTGTGTGTGTGTGTGTGTGTGTGTGTGTGTGTGTGTGTGTGTGTGTGTATGTGTGTGTGTGTGTGTGTGACGCTGATGGCTCTTTCCCATTTTACACGCAGCTGAGATAAACAGGAAATAGCTTTTGGACACACTGTACTTCCTGTCTGTTGGAAGATGATTTCCTGTTTCCTGTCTGGGGTTTTGGAGGGAAGATATGCCCTTTCCCAAATGATTTCAATTGCCATGGCAACGAAACGTCATAACTGAGGTAGAGAAAAGGCACACACGCACAGAAACTGAGTAGAGTGTAGCTTCAATAACACAATATTAAATGTGATTCAACCAATCCTGGGGCTCTTTTAGGCAGCAATCACACGTGTCAGTGTTTGGGGGAATGCTGTATGTACAGATGTGAGCGTACCTGGGGCCAGGCAGAGGGGGCTGGCTGCCGCCTGAGGTCTCCTCCTCATCTTCTTCGTCCTCCTTCTGGCTCTCCAGATACATCTTAGCTTCTTTGGAGTCAGCTGATACCACTTTATTCACCCTGACAGAGGGAGACAGACACACAGCGTGCTCAACTGTTTGCACATGAATAGAAGTAATACAGTATGTCTATGGAGCAGTTTGAAGCAGCCAGTATATGATGGTGAAACTAGCCTTACTAGCTCGGAAAAACCCTGAAAACTAAATCAAAACAGGTCAAATTAGGGACTTTGTGTCGTTTTTTTCTTTTGTGTTGTTATTCTGGCTGTCAACGTTAACACTCTGGAATCACCTGGAAACCTTAATGTGTAAAAAAGTTCAACCCCAACTTCATCCAGTAATACCAATGAAGATTTTAACCATGAATTGCATGGTAGTGAAAATGCAAAGAAAGCAGACGATGAAGAATGGTTACTGCACTTGTTAGCTTTACATGTAGATGTGTTGAAAACAGAGTAAAGGAACTTTTTTCTAAACATGCTTGAGGTTCTTGAAGTGCACAAGAGTGTGAGATAGTGGACAGTCTCCACTGTAGGAACAGATAGAGCTGCAGTACGATATCAATCTGTGTAGCTCACATTATACACAGGGGGAAGTGTCCATGCTGTAACTAAGTGTCTGAATTTTCTTACCAGTTTGACGTGCATTTCCTTATTACAACATCAAACATGTTTAGATTTTGACTCCCCCCAAAATACGGGTAAAAACAAGTATTTTAAACTTTTAACCATGATTAATCCCTAATGCAATTATTTTTCATTGCTTTACATCTCCAATTATTTGTATTCTTAATATCTGACACCCATGTTCTACTCACACGGCATACTGACCAATCCCACAGTCAAGAAACTAGGTTTCATTTCTCTGGTTTTAGTAAGTTTACTTATTTGTATGCTTGCTCAATGTTTTGTTAACCCCTTACTTTTAGTAAAGCACTTGAATCAACTTTTAAAAAGTAGAGAAAAAAAGTCCACTAAATTTAAATCATAGTCATTATGTTTGAGTGTATAAAAGGGCAACAATTCAGAGTCTATTGAGTATTAGATTCCTCACAGTTGAGGGGAAAATGTGGAGTTTCAGTTTCCCATTGTGCTCCAAATGATGAGCTATGAGAGGAAATCTGCTTAGGGATGCAGAACACTTTTTTAATTTAGCAAGTAAACTAGTTTATATAGAAAGTTGTTGATAGATTTGGCACTTCTTCATTCAAATGTGGATTAATGTTACTTTTTTAAACAAATTAATATATAGAAAGGGCATATTTTTTGTCATCAATATAACTAATCTACACAGCCCATTCTGCATCTCAATCCTCTCCCTCTACACATGCTGTACCACACACTCGCGGTCAGAGGAAAACATGTGTGTGTGTCTCACTGTGGGGTTAGATAGGGAGGCTATATGAGGAACAACCGCTGCATCCTCTGGGAACATCAGCTCTGCACAGACTACACCACCACTTGCATCCATCATGGCGGCACTAAAAGGCTTTCCCTGTTATATATGCTAATTACATGCAGCCATAATTACACAGAGTACACACTGAGTCTCGTCTCAGGGAGGGAACAGAAACCTATGGGAGTCCCAGAGAGCTGAAAAGACACGAGGGCCACCGCAGTACGGATACTCTTTGAAATATGTCAGTACTTGCAGACAATAGCCACAATTATTTCATAGAAAATCGATGTTCAGACATAAACTCAGTACAATGTTCACTTCAGCAGCATTTATTGTGGCTCTGGGGATGTTTTGAAGAGCAATCTGTTTCAGTAATTACAGAGCACGAAGCTTCATGCATAATCATCCTTATGAATTATTATACCCAGAGTCAAAGCTGGTTTCTGAGTAAAGACCGCTCAGATGTAAACATGTAGGACGGGACATTACATGCTCCACATTCAGACTGCAGGGGCGTGGCTGTCTGTGGGATATACAGTTTGGTTCTGTTACACAGTAATAATGAAACTGTTTTGATGGGAACATACAATCTCATGAGCTAGGATATTTACTTGTGCCTGGTTAAAGACATGCAAACTGAGTCTGTTCCAGGACCTTATTTAACTGTTCATTAGCAGCTACATATAATTAAAGATATTAGTGCTTGCATTGTAAAGTCTGCCCTTAGATGCATAAGTGGGTCTTTTTTGACCCGGTGAGGTGGTTTTCTTAGAGTATCTTTGTAATTACATTTCATATTCCAGCTATTCCTCAAAAAACATGTTTGGATATCATGCCATTCAAATTTGAAATTTGATACATTTTAAGAAATTGTAGTTTTCGTATTACTACCCCAAGCTTCCATAAGTGGGTCTTTGTTGACCCGGTGAGGTGGTATTCTTGAAGTATCTTTGTAATTAAACCTGCATGCATTTTCTATGGAATTCTTTTTTTTTTTGTAAAATAAATGTCTAAAATTATAAATAGTGAAAAATTAAATATAAAATATTTCTAGTGTGAACCAAAATATAATACTAAATATTATAAAAGTGATTTTTCTTAACCAAAATGCCAAAAATGGCATACAAACACATATTATTCTAATACGGGTCCTTTTTGACCCACTTATGGAAGAGTGTAGGGTCCAGTCACTCGTGCATCTAAGGGTTAACAACATGTTTTATAGGGGTTAATTTAAGTCAGTATTATTTTTCAGATCACCAAGCAGTAGTGCAGGTTATTGTACACAAATGTGTGCTAGGTAATATAAATAGGACCAATTTAAACACAGTAACTCTCAGTGTCACATCTACATATTAAAATAAAGAATGCATGTTTCTAGCTGCTGGGTATTTCAAACACTGTGTGTAAAATGCAAATCCACACACGTAGAATTGAAAGCCACAAAGGCCTTCTTGTTAATGTGTGTTGTAAAGGTGATACAAATATATTCACAAATACTTATAATTGACTTGTAAATCAATGTACTCCCGACTGTGGGGCGACTGTGGCTGCGAGGGAGTGACATCGCCTTGTGGGTTCAATCCCAGCCCGTGCAGTCAACATGTCGATGTTTCCTTGAGCAAGATACTTAACGAATGAATGAGGTGTGAAAGGGTGAATGACTCGTAGTATGTAAAGCGCTTTGAGGGGGTGGAAAATACATGTTTTCAGAGATTTTTGGGGGATTTTGTGGGTGGTATTTTTGTTTTAATTTGCAGATCCGTTTTATGTTAATAAACTTTGTTTGTGGAAAGTGTTTTACATTACACACGGATTGTCCATCAAAGAATGTTAAGACAATCCTCCATAATGACCCAGTGTTCTGTGTGGTACATCTAAAAATGAACGTGACAGCCTATGAACAGACAGAATGAACAACACACTGATGCTGTATATAAAGTTGGGCGCAAGGGGGTGGGTGCAGGGGAACTGTTGTATTACACCAGAGCCCGGTCCAGTTTCTTTTTTGTATATTATGATGGTATTAACACTATTGGAGATTGATGACTAGACATCATGTTCTTTCTCTGATGAGATATTTTCAACCTATTCATTCATGGATGGTTATGATCCATTTGAATCATCATACATTAGCTGAAGGTGTTTAATGTCTGAATGACTGTAAAAATAAGCCTTTGTAAGGGGACACATACTGTAGTACTGCTATGCTTTCACAGAGTTCACGAGGTTACGTGTGTGTTTGGCACCGCCTACTGGTCAATGTGTAAATAGTTAAACCACTGAGACTATCAACATCATTTATAGAATTGTGTACAATTTGGAGATATCTGGTTATTTACAGAATGTCAGGAACTTGTATTCACTGTAGAAGGTATATCCTTCATCTACTACATTATAATTAAGTTTCAATTTGTTGGAGAGATATCTACCGAAATTAGCATGCTAACTGACTAGCCCCTGCCCGTTCACAATGAGTGAAGGTTGGCCCGTCTTATTACTGTCCTGCCACAGCCAAAGTAACTGGATTTTCTTTTTTGTCAGAGCATTTGATTTACTAAATACTCAACCCAACCTAGCTTTTTCTGTAAACTTTAAAGCTCTGATTTTATTTTTACCAAATGTAACTATTTGGCTCATCTTCCTACAAAATCTCTGTGGTTTATTAAAAGAACATTTTAAGTCTTAAACTGTTGATGAGTGTTCAGAGGCATACCTTACTTCTTCTCCAGCGAAGTCAAACACTTGGGTGATGGTGACTTTAGCAGGTTCAGGAGCTTTGGTGTCTTTACTCGAGGGAGCAACCTTCAATACTGAGGAATCCTCCTGAGGAGGAATACAAAGCATCAGTATATGGGAGGGACAAGGATGAGACACATAATCAATGCTTTACATGTGATATTGTTATGCAACTTTTTTAAGTCATATCCTAAGTCAGGGGCCGGAGGAACGTGGAACAGACCATAAAACCACCACTTTGTTTCCCTCTCTATTTATCCAGGTTTATAACCATTTTAAACATGGCCTTCTGTGACTTTATTTAGTTAGTTTATGTTTAGTGTATGTACACAACAAACTATGAACTATGGTGTGTGATAGGAAATATGGAGAAGGGTGAGCATTTATTATTACAATTTATTTCAGACGAGTTCTTATTTGTAGAAAAAGCAAGCGGCTGTTCTAGACCAATTTTAGTCGGGGGGGGCCGTGATGGGGGCTGTTCTGTATGAGGGTTGCACATTAAATGCAGGACAAAGGAGAAAAAGAGCATCTTCTAAATGTTAACATTTTTAGTTCAGCATAAAGTCATGCTGCACAAAAGAAACATAAAATACCATGATTGGTGTTTGTTTCAGTTACAGAATTTGCCTCAGTAACTTAGTGAAGAGGTATTTAATGACATCATTAAAAACTATTTCCAATTACTTTCATACGTGACACTGTCATAGACTATTATATCTGAGGGGGGCCAGAGGGGGGTCCAAGCTCAGTGTGGCAGGGGCAATGACTGGCCCCTGTTGGCCCCAAATTAGAACCGCCCATGGTAAAAGCCTGTTACCAATTCATGAGGAATTATTTGATTGTTAATCTTCTGTTTGGCTTCATAATGGTTGAAAGGATGATCAATATTGTTTCACCTCAGTTTATTTTATTTTTTTAATGTTTGTTGTGTTTGAGAGTGTGTAATGTGTGTTTGACTGTGTTTAGATTAGCTAATGCTGATTCTTATAAAGACAATATAAGACAAAGCACCATGTGTAAGTTTGGTTAGGAATTGGGTTTGAGTGTTAACCAATTCAAAATTGGTACATTCTTGATTGGGTTTAGGATATATTTACCTTCTGTGTGGAACCGGACTGAGCGGACTGAGCGGCCTGAGCGGCCGGTGCGGACTCTTTGGGTCTGGTTCCAACGTCAGACAGGAAGCTGGCCCACAGGTCATCAGATTTCTTCTTCAGTTTGTCCTCAGCCTTCGGCCCTACCTTGGTGAGTTGTTCCACCTCTTCCTGTGGCCGCTCCTCTGCTTCTGCTCCGTCCCCCTCTTCATTATCTATTTTCAGTACTCCTTTCTTCCTCTTTCTATAAAAAGAATGGTTTTCATCATTCACATCATCTTTTTAGTAGCAAATAGGGTATTTATTTATTTGTCTGTTTAATATAAGATATAAGTGTGCTGAAAAGTACTAAATGTGGTTAATTCAATCAAAATGGCGGACATTACTGCACAATAATTTTAGATGCTATTTAACATGCCTGCTGATAAAATGCTGCTTATCCAAGATGTTGGAGTTGTGGAAGTTGTGATGTGGAAAAGGAAATGGAAAAAATAGATCCTAAAAACGTGTTGGACTGCTAATTGACCCTTTTGGCTTTTTTTTAAAGATGGATATGGAAAGTTTAGCCCTTCATCTGATATCATTCCGTCATTATTTATTTCATCTTATAACTTGTTTATTATTTTCTCACCTCACACTGATGTCCTTTTTTATCCTCTTCTTCTTACTATCGCTGCCATCATGTGGCACAGTATCACTCTCGTTCAGAGGGTCTTCCTTCTCACACTCATTAAGGTCATCCTCACTCAGGTTATCATCTGAGAGAACAGGAAGCAGACATGAGAAGGAAAGAATGTGAATACACAGATCAATAATGTAGTTTATTAAAAATTAGCAAAATCATATTGTTATGGTATGATTTAATCATGTTATCATTTACCCTGTAATTAAAGCTTACACAAATAGTTTGTTTGATTTCATGTTATGCAGTTTATTTGCACAGTTCATTTTTGACATATATTATATATATATATATCAATAATTCTGTTTTAATTACATTTAATGTATATGTTTGCATTAAGACCATTGTTTGTGGTGTGGATATTATACGAGGTTATAATATGTTTAAAAAATATATAATTTAATGACATTTTAACTAAGTTGCCATTACAAATTCTGTACCTGAAACAAACACAAACATGTTTTTTTTTTCTGCGCTATGACTTTATACTGAACAAAAAACACAAATCTTGAACACTGTCTCACCCCCCCTGATTAATAACTCGCCCCAACATGGCCCCCAAGGAAAATTGTTCTAGAACCGCCAGTGGTCTTTAGACTCCAGGTGTGTACTGGAAGAAATTCAGCCTTTTCAATTCATGTCCTTATTCTTGATGGACTTTAGCTCAAAGTCTCTACACAGCGGTGTTATCGTTTTAAAAGCGTACCTTTTGCTAGTTATAGCTAATAGAGCTAATTAAATCTATCTTATATAAAAAGTCAATTAATTAGCTACAACAACTAAAACCACAACAGTCCTCCTCCATGCGGTGTGTACTACGCTTCTGATAAAGCGCAGCTTTGTTTACCGCCCTAACCTGAAGGGACGTAGTCTGCATCTTCATTAGACGAGTATCCGTCAGAGTCGTAGTCATCGTAGTCCATCATTTTGGAGAAGCTTCAGACTGATAGTGAAGTCAATAAAGAGGGCTACCCGCGACAGTGGGTTTGCTACTAGCTTACTTCCAGGGGTTACGGAAGTAAACCTAACCGGGTTTAAATGCCTCCTTTCTAGCAGAACTACCGTTTTAATGTTGCTCTTTTAGAGCTTTAATATATTTAAATACATTTAGTGCACGATATGTATGAAACTGGGTACTACAGTTAGCCTTTCTGAAATTGAATGTGAAGACAACGGAAAGCTCAAAGGCTCAAAATGTTGGACTGTTGCTCTCTTCTGTTGCAGCGACCACCAGGCGAGTGTGTCTGCATCAGCGCCACCTGCAGGGGGGGAGGGTCAATACAACAATAATATCAGCACAGCGCCAATCAGTCAGCCAGGATAAGATTTATAGGCCTACGGTACTGTATAGTACTTGATAATAATGGTAATAATCTTTTATTGAACTATCATTTCAGGTCTCTCTTGAGAATGAGACCCTGTGTCTCAATGAGATTTTACCTGTATAAATAAAGGCTAAATAAAAAAATAACTTCTGCTTTCCGTCCACTTTCCTTTATTGTATTAATAAAGCAATAATGTCAAACAGTAAACAGCAGGACAATAACAGTAAGGCCAGGGATAGATTTGATTAGATTAGGTTTGATAACATGAGATTAGATTAAATGTATTTATAATCCCAAAATGAGAAATTGTTTTTTCAAAGCAGCATGTTAACATGGCATTGCACATAAATAGAAACAATTCAAAAAGAAACATAAAGAGTTTATATATACAAATCAACAGTAAAAACACAGATACTCTACAGATACACAATATAAAATTAACAGAATCAATTAGAATACTATAATAGACCTAGCCTCTAGTTAAAACAATAAAAGCTTTGAATAGTATACACATTATGAAAGTGAGAAAAGTGGTTGCAGTTATTTAAATTAAATGTTTTTGCAATGGGGTAGAGTGTGAGTACAATATATACAAATTGTTTAAGGTTATTGAAAGGAAAAAACCTAGTGGAATCTGGGTAAAATGAAACAATTAAAGAAACGAAGTATCCATTATGATATAACAGTTTGTTCAGTGTCCTGTATTTTGCAGCGGATGATGGAAAAACCTTCTTCATCAGTTTATAAGTCTCGCTGGTGTCCCCCTCTCCAATATGTCTTACAACCAGCAGAGGAGGCTCTCTGGTTAAATGAGCTCTAATAACCTGGAGTGAGACAACACACAGATACTTACATCTTCACATCTGCTTTCATGGATATTATCTCACACCTTTTTTGAATGTAGGCTAAAAAATATATTATTTTCATAATTGATAATTTGTTGACTATTTCTCCATCGTGTGACATATGTTGGATCAGAAAACAGTAAGCAGTATTTTTAATGTAATGTTAAGACAATGAAAAGCAAAAATATTTTCCCTTTTGAAAAGCTTAAACAAGTAAAAGTTAAAATTCCTTACTTTTTATTCAATTTAACACACCCACATACAGACACACACTCACATGGATAATGATTTTTTTTATTGATTAGTTTGTTGATAAAATAATTAACAAATTTGTGTTATGATGACACCCTAAAAACGTAGTTAACACAAAAATCATTGCCATTCATACCATCATTGACATGGGGGCGCACAACGCTAATCTTTACATAGAATTTAATGCGTTGCATTATGGGACTCTTGGCCGACTGAAATGTACATTCCTTTGTGGGAAATATTTATACGGTAATATATACTGTATACAATAAGATATTACTTTAGATCAAGTCTGAAATTTGACTTGTGTAACAGCAGCCCCATTTGCATCATTAACAAGGACAGATATTAAGACACAATACAAGAAAAACAAACATTTAACATAAAATCACAATCACTGAGAGAAACATGCTCAAAGACCCTTTGGCGTGCATTTGACCTGGGATTTTGCTGTTAGAATGGACTGGTGCAAGTGGTGCATGAAGGAGTGCTTCAGTCTGACTTTATTAAAACGAGGGACCCTGTATCTCCGATTAGATGGCAACAATTCCTATTCACAGTTCAGAACATGGGTCAGAGGGGATTTTGTTGGACAGCCTCACTAGGTTTTTATGTTATGCTGACTCCAACGGGTTGCAACCGCTGACTCATAAAGTCTCTGACACAGTTGACCTACAATCTTTGAGCAGATTTTCAGCTGGTGGAGCAGTTTTGATTTAAAGCAGTCGACAAACATTTGTACCAAGTGTATTGCAATACTGTAGAATAGTCAGCATTACAGACGTAAAGAACAACAGAATAATTAGTCTACTCGCCCCAAAAGACCTATGGCGGCAGAAAAATCAATTCAGTTTTGTCCTTTTGCAGAGATTTTTAATTTTTAATTTAACCTTTATTTAACCAGATAAAAGCATTGAGATAACATCTCATTTTCAATGCTGACCTGGCCAAGAAGGCAGCAACGTTACATAACACATAACACAAACATATAAAATACAGAGAACACAACTAAGAAAACAAAAGACGAAAAAGCAGCACATTTGGGACAGTAAGAAAGGTACACTACTTATTACTGTAAGAGCAGCTGGTGATAAGGACTTCAGACAACTTCAATTTAAAACATGCTATTGAGACAAGTGCCGTCAGTTTGAGGCCTGATTGAAGGTCATTCCAAGACCAAGGACCATAATAAAAAAGACTCCTTTTTCCAGCCTCAGTCCGCACAGCAGGAACCTGGAACCGTATCCAGGCACTGGATCTGAGGTTGTAAGAGTTACAAACTGGGGCAAATCTGGCACATATGTAGAGTGGAAGCTTACCTAAAATGGCTTTATACATTAATAAAAACCAGTGCTGCATCCTACGCATAGTAAGTGAGGACCATCCAGTTAGGCTATACAGTGTGCAATGATGAGTCCTATAGGGTGCATTTGATATATAACGCAGTGCAGCATGGTAAAGTGGGTCAAGTTTGGCCAAAAAAGTGGGACAGGCAAATCTATAAATGGTATCACCGTAGTCCAGCTGGGACAGGAATAAGCCAGAGACCAACCTTTTACGGGATGAAATTGAAAAACAACATTTAAGTCTGAAAAGGAAGCCAAGAGTGAATTTCAATTTCTTTGTTAGAACTTCAATATGGTGTTTAAAGTTCAGATTACTGTCCAACCAAAAGCCCAGATATTTGTAGGTATCGACAAACTCAACAGAGTCACCATCAAGGGTGTTAGATCAGTGGTTCTCAACCTGTGGTACGCGTACCACTGGTGGTACGCCAGCTCCCGCTAGTGGTACGCGGAGGAATCTGACATACAAAAATATTTTTTGAAAAAAATTAATATATTTTTTAAAATGTTATTTAACCAGATGAAAACATTGAGACAAAATCTCATTTACAATGCTGACCTGGCCAAGAAGGCAGCAACGTTACACGTTCTTACACATAACACAGACATATAAAATACAGAAAACACAACTAAGTAAACAAAAAGACGAAAAGCAGCCACTACATTGTGCACATTTGGGACAGTAAGGTACACTACTTATTACTAGAGAGCAGCTGGTGGTAAGGACCTCAGACAACTTCAATTTAAAACAGGCTACAGGGACAAGTGCCATCAGTTTGAGGCTTGATTGAATAACATTAATTAAAAAATCATACTATCAAAATACTACAACGATTTGACAAAAAACAAATCTGGCGTTGCTAATGACGACCATACTACCCGTGAACGATTAGCGAACGTTGCAAGCAAGCTAAAGAAAGAAGAAAGCTGAATGATGCTGTGAGAGGTACAGAGGAGAATATTACCAGCGAAAGTGAACAAGTGAATGAGGACGACAGTCATCAACCGAGCACAAGCGCAGGCTCCGCCAGCAACGCAAAAGTGATATGCACAGTAACAACGCTGTGATGGAGGAGAGAAGTGACTCAGGAAGAAGGCATTTGCTCAAAGAATGGAGAGAAGGCTGTGACCGAGGTCAAAAGCTGAAAAAGCACACACACTTGTCCTTAATTGTTATCTTTTTTCTTTTCTAGAAAACATCAGCAGACTGAAGATGAGCTATCAGCCCTTAGGCTCATCTGCTTCCCAAGAGGACATTTTCTGTTACAATGTAGGTAGTTGCAGGAGGCCTACATTCAAACTTTGGTATAGGAAATGACATGTGTGTACAGTTGTCATTTGTTGTGTGAGAATAAGTTATTATTTTGTTCTTTATATTCTCGCTTGTCGTGTGTGAGTGAGTGATGAGTGAGAGAGAGAGAGAGAGAGAGAGAGAGAGAGAGAGAGAGAGAGAGAGAGAGAGAGAGAGACTGCCCTTTGTACATGTAGCTGTGGCTGACAATAAATTATGTTATTATGAATACATTTGCCTCCGAGTCCTGCATGAACTGTGCATAGACTGTACTTTAACATTGGTCATATGGTGGTACTTGGAGAGCCAACTATTTTCTCAGGTGGTACTTGGTGTAAAAAGGTTGAGAACCACTGTGTTCGATAATTAATATGGTCTTTCCATGACAGCAGATCATTACACCCAAGTATTTGTATAAAATTATACTTTTTATTTAAACAATATAAAGCATAATAATCACACTTGACTCAATTCACACTCCCCAGTAAAATGTTGTAGGGTTTTCCTAGTGTAGGGTAGATAGGTACAGAGGCTGTGGTTGATGCTGTTTTCTGCCCTGCTTTGGCCTATCACCATTTAGTTTAGTGCGTTTACTTTGAATAACCAATACATTTCAAACTACCAACATGTCATATTCATATTCTGTACAAACTGTAAATTCCACTGAGACAAATGTAACTTTTGTGATATTGGGCTATATAAATGAACTTTGATTGATTGATTGATTGATTGATTCTGCCAAACTGCTCATTGAGGCTCTCATCATAAGTTTTTGCCTGTGATTTAGAAGTCCAAAGTATGCTGAGCCATCCAAGTATGGCGCCATTTTAGCAGTGACATTAGCGCCCACCTTCTCCCGCTCAATCCACGTAAGGGCAAAGAGGCGGAGCCAGAGCGGGCCTGGCTGCTGAAACACACCCACCGAGCTAGCAAAGGCTAACAAGCTACGCTGCTCACCATTGCTAGTCGGCTGACCTGCAGTCTGCTGCTCCCTGTTCCTACACTTTACTCCCAAAACAATCACATAAAAAAATCAAAACAATCAAAGTGTTAATCTTTCTGTGCTTCTTAACTTCCCTACCCTCAAAATTGAGAGCAAATAAATCTACAACAAAGCTTACCAATATACA